ATGTATCGACGCCTGCAGAAATGCATTCAATTATGATCTGTATAATTAGGCCTACAGGCCACGTCTGCCTTTCATTTCATCAAAAGACTAAATATTTAAGATATTGCAACATGAAATGAAACAAACAAAAATAAACAATATACATTTTTTTTAGGAATTTTAAGTATAAATCTTGATACTTATAATTAGGCCTAAATTTCAAAAACGTGTTTGAGTATTTCTCAATTTTCACTAATTTAAACATGCATTATTCATAAACCTTCATCACACAGTAACTAGCTTCCACGATGTCGATACACAATAGTTAACACACATGTTGCTGATATAAAATAATCTGTGAATTTCCCAGTGCAGCATTAAATGACAGTGACCGAAAAACGCCCAAGACACTTCGACTTGATTGAGACATTGAGGGTTGACATCAATTTCAATCAAGTCAAAGTGTCTTGCTGTACTTTTGTCTGTCAACCATTCTATAACCGAGGCATACATGAGACCACATCAATTACATGTTCCTATACGATTATATAATATATATATATATATATATACATACATACATACATACATATATATATGCTTTACTTCTGTTGAACGCTTTACATCAATTAATGTCGATATAGAATCGATTAACACACATCTGTTACTGTCATAAAATTATATTTGGGATTTCCAAGTACTGTACTGTAAAATTAATGTAAATGACCATGAAGTTAGTGCCGAGATTGCGTTTTTGGCACTAATAGCGTAAATATTTCACACGCTCTTTTTCTGACCGATGGCTTGTCGCGAATCTATTCTTTGGGTGGCAAAATGGGCGCTCCACCACAAACAACACCACAACCTCCAGGCAGTAGCCAAAAAATTTCTAACCAAACGCAGTTGGGGCGTTATGGGGGAGGGGGTAAGGGCTACGGCTCCGCCCCGGTCGGGGAGGCTTCCTCCCGTCAGGGAGAAAAACCACAATTCGTCGGAGAAAAAAAAAGTTTTCTAAAGATTTTAAAATCCATTAATAAGCCTTTGAAACCCCTAAATTTTCATTTTTTGGTGGTGGTGGGGGGGGGGGGGCTTCTGTCCCTGGACCACTTTCGAAAGGTTTTGAGCAACGCCCGACCACGCCCACTTTGTTAACGTGTGGGGCATCAGCCCCCCTCCTCCGTCAGGGACCTTAGACCCTTCGGCGGGGAAATCCCGGGGCCGCCACTGATCAAACGTGATTTAAAATGGCTAAGACTCCAATAGATAAGGTAACACCCCAAGACCTCCACTCTCGACAATAAGTTCCTCTTGTGACATTTAACACCCCAAGACCTCCTCTCTCGACAATAAGTACCTCTTGTGAAATTTTCTCCACTGATTTTTTTTTTCTCTGCTTAGTGAAAAAAGGCTTACGTAATTGCTTTAGAGAGCAGCTTAGCTCAGTCGGCTAAACTGGTGTGGTAGCCACTGTGTGTGCACTGCACCGTGGAGATTTTTGGTACTCGTGTTCAATTCCCTTCACCTGCAGCTGGATAGCTGAAATACACGGCTGGAATTGTAGGCGATCCCCATATCCCTGTTAGTCCACATTTGCACACCCCCGCACCCAAACAGTGAACAACCTGGGTATGGGTATTAGAGCAAAAATATAGGCCTACAAAAAAAATATAGGCCTACAAAAAAAATATATAAGGCATGAATTTAACATTGATGACAAATAGGCCTACCAAATGCAATATCGATTTGTACTATTTTGATAAAATTAATTTTATTACAATTATTATTAATTAATTAATTATTTTATTGTTGTTACTATATATATATACATAGAAAAACAAACTCGAGCCAGTTATGACAAGAACACTTTCGGGTGTTTTAATTCCAAGCATGCATGTAATAAACATTTCACTTATTACAATACAATTTAGATATTATATTGGTCTATCAGAGAATAAACATTATTGAATTATGAAAGATAACAACACAGAATCAATGCGTCAAGGCTTCGAATAAGACACAACTTCACGTGATGGTAACCATTTGGAGGAGTAGCTCCCCTAGGAAAACATATATAAGCAATGTTAGCTGAACTAGTAACCAACAAATACTCATTCGCATGTTCGACTCAAGAACTGCAGTAAACATTCTGGTGCACTCTTATCATGATACCGAAGACACAGTTCAACAAAATTATTGTATATGCAGAAACATGTAATTTATATTATAATATTGTACATCACTTCACTGGTATTTGGGGAAAACAAAATTGTATGATATTGTTTTTACACCGACGAAAGTATACAATTACTAAGTGTAGGTAGGCCTATGCATGGTGTGTAAAAGGAGATAGCACCAGGGACTATGTTTGATTTATATTGAAATGACCAAGTTTGTTTTTATTGAGATCGCTAAGTAAGTAAGTACAAGTACAGTAGCACCATATAGTTTAGATTTTAAAGTTCTAGCATTTACAGTCGACAGTAGACCTTTCGTGGGGTGTCTATCAATCAAACATAAAAACTGACCAACGAGAACAGGACCAAAAACATGCATGTCCTACAAATACATGTGTTGTCCGACCAATGTACGTGTTCACATATATTTACACTGTTTTATGGGACCTCAGCAACAATATCCAAGAAGCGGTCAGGGGTGGCACCAGGATTTGCCCAACGGAGGTCCGGTGTCCCAATGGGGGGGGGTTCCATGTTCCCGACAAAAGCAAATTGGGCATGGTTGGGAATCGCTCGAAATCTTTCGAAAGTGGTCCAGAAGCAAAACCCCGAAAATATCACAATTCAGGGTTTTCTAAGGCTTAATACATTTTAGATTCTACTATTCTCTCTGTTAAATTGCCTTTAGTGCAAACAGCCACGTCCTTATTAGTACACCCCAAGCTTTAGGAAGTTGAGTTCAGTTGTTAATACAGTGTTGTGAAAAAAAAATGCAGTTTGCAGGATTGAAAAATTAACCATCTTAAAAATAAAACAAGCTACACCCCCACTCCAACCAAGGACTTTTAACTGTACAGTCGAAGTATTTGTTCCAACCGTACTTCACAGTTGCAAGAAGGTGGAGGGGGTAGGATCACACCTCTGAATAGCTGAAAGGGGAGAGGGTAGCGCTACATTTAGAACAGCTAGTCGTGAGAGGTATGATTGACTAACAGATGTCCTCTCATCCATATATGCACATGGTGATGTCATCTCACCCATATATGGGCATGGTGATGTCATCTCACCCATAAATGGGAATGATGATGTCATCTCACCCATATATGGGCATGGTGACGTCATAACACCCATATATAGGCATAATGATGTCCTCTCATCCATATATGCACATGATGATGTCATCTCAACCATATATGGGCATGGTGATGTCATCTCACCCATAAATGGGAATGATGATGTCATCTCACCCATATATGGGCATGGTGACGTCATCACACCCATATATAGGCATAATGATGTCCTCTCATCCATATATGCACATGATGATGTCATCTCACCCATATATGGGCATGGTGATGTCATCTCACCCATAAATGGGAATGATGATGTCATCTCACCCATATATGGGAAAGATGATGTCATATCAAACCTATATATGGGCAAATCAAAAAATCTGTCATATTCATATTCTTTGCTTTACTCTAATTCGTTGGGCAGTTTATTTTGACATTTCTATACACATAAATATGTGACATAAATATGTGTGGCAGTGTAAACGTGTTATGCTCAGTTTGTAGACACATAAAAAAACTGTGCATGTTGTGTATGTATGCTCTAATTTTCATACATGCATACTTTTTTTAAGAAATATAATATGTGATAAAACCTCATCCAAATAAATCATTGAATAAACTCTTATAAAAATGATTACATAATTTATCAATTTTCAATAAAATAATGATCGAAAGAACAATTCAATTTTTCTGATTTACAGATGTTTTACTGTGAAAATATGCAGTTTTGATTGCCAAATATATTTGCAAAAAATATAGGAATAGTAGTAAATTATGCATCTATTACTTAAGACAGGTAAATATTTTCTCATTTTAACAGTCAATGAAAAACTAATAACTTACTTTTAAAAATAATTCAAATATTGTATTAATTGCCAAAAAGTAAATATACATTATATTGATGCACGTTTGCTATTGTTGAACATTTTATTCTTCAAGTTAAAAAGTGCTGAACAGAAAGTTTGCAATACAGTATTAGTATGAACACAGCAATGGCATGTGACATATCCTCATAAAAAAATTAAGCCTAGAATTCCCTCGGAGGATTTTGGAAAACAAGGGCCAATAAGCAGTAGTTACAATTTTGTGTACCTACAGTATATTCCTAGCTCAATTTGAGTTGGTTTTCGTGATACACTTCAAATATTTTTTTTTTACAGTGTGGATGTAATATTGAACTGTTCTCTTCACTTTCTGTACTCTCTGAAGTACACACACGTATTATGAATTCCATGTGTGTACAAGTATAAATACACACATAAATAAATTTATAGTGTGCTTTGTATACACGTTTCTTGCATATCATGATACATAAATACATAACTTATCCAGTATGCAATTGGTCAGCATGTGCATTCCTGTACAGTTGTACACATTGACTCTGTATGTACACTCTAACAGGCATGCATGGATGTATTAAGCAAATACATGTTTGGCATGCATCCAATAATGTACATGATATGAGCCTACTGTGCACAAATTTAGCTCAGCCACCGGCCTCACAATGTAGCATCTCAGTTGAATACACTCATGCACATTTGATTTTCAGCATGAATTTTGCCTCATGAGGCCATCAACAAATGGTATATTTGATATTTTTCAACTAGTGTAGCACAAATTTGCATCATGTGTGTACTACTCGTGAGAAAGGATGTAAACTCAGTCCATATGTGCATGACGTGCTTGAATGAGAATATTTTTGAAACTCATGAGAAAAAACACAGTACAATTTTCATACTAGGGAGCTTTCGATTGCACGAAGTGGTAAGACATAAAACGTAATGACATCCCTAAGAATTCATCTGCGCGTGTGAAAATGTTAAGTTCTTCTCGTCGTGTGGATTCTAGGATGCAACTTGATCAAATTCTATGTTGTGCAGAGAATGTATGAGTGATTCCCTTCTAGCATTGCATCGTCACACAGAAGAAAAGCTCTCTGTTGTGTTTGAAGACGTGCTGAATGCCTCGAGAGACAAATAGCTGAGCTACAGCAGGCTTTTTTTTTTATAAAACCTGTATTCATGCCTTAATTTGTGGTAACATCCATTCATTATTTGACGTATACTACACTGTACACATTTTAAAAACATTTAAAATTCTATACTGCATCGTCTGCCGTGACAAAATCAATGAGATCAGTAACCTCCATCAGGAGATCATCATCATCGCCTTCACGACTACCGTTACTTCCGTTTCCGCCATTGATAGCGAGTGACGATTTATTTCCACTTATTGAAGGTGATACCTTCTTCTTCGTATCAGTGTTTTGTTCTTTGTCCTTATTTTTATCTTCATCTTTCTTAGTGTTTCTTTGTTCTTCATTTTCTTTATTTGAATCATTTGCTTTCCCTTTAGTGTCTTTATCACCTTCATTGTTATTGTCATTTTCCTTATCTTCTGGAGCTTTTGTTTCTTTCTTCTCAACGTTGTCGTCATTTTCATCATCTACTTCATCTTCATCCGTTTCATTCTCCTTCTTTTCATCCTCATCCTCTTCTTCCTCTTCAAATTCTTCTTCCTCACTTGTAGAGTCCTCAACCAACGCTTGGTAACTAGCCTGCCTTTTATGCGACTTCTCTATCTTGTCCAACTCCTCCCCAAGACTGAAATCACTATCATCATCATCACAGATGCGTTTCTTTGACTTTTTTGAGCGTTTTTTCTCTTTCTTATCTTCTTCTTCCTGCTCATCTTCATCTTCGCTGCGTAATACAAATTTTCTCTTTGACTGACGAGATTCCATTTCCGAACCATTAGAATTGTCAGAGTCATCGCTATTCGAGTCCTCACGGTAAGAGACTTGTTTGCGAGCTGCTTTGCGTTGTCGTGTGCGGCCAGTGAGCTCATCGCTGTCATAGCTAGATTCCTCAGTTTCTATTAAAGAATGGAAAACATTCAATTGCAAATTTTTATATACTGAACGAATTCATAAGTAACACAATGAATCATCATTAAACTAAAATGCCAATATCTTTATCTAATAGTTAGTGTATTGCTACTAAAATAGGGACTTGATGATCTATAAAGATAGACCATCAATTCCCTCTTGACAATATAAAATTGTAAAGCTGCCGAAATCCCAAATGGAAAGATGACAAAATCACTAGCCTTCTTCTCTCCCAAAGGGAAGATGGAAATATTACAAAAGTAATACCTTCTCCCAACTCCAACCATTCACAAGAAAAGAATTACAATAATGCATCAGTTACCCTTTAAACTGCCCTCTCACTCACTTTCTTTTCAATTCCATCTATTCCCAAGAAAAGATGGTAATAACACCATGCACTTTAGCCCCTCACTCCCTCCTGGAAATCAGGGTGGTCTCCTACACTCCCTCAGGCAAGCAAGCAAGAATCTCATGGAAACTGAAGCCTGGTTTCCTTAAAATTGCTACACTGTCGCTCCAGTGTTTTCAGTAAAACCGTTGTACTCTGTAGTGGTACCCGACGCAATCAGCATTACCAAAAGCTGTCGGCGATAGCGTGTAGCAATTGTATGGAAACCAAGTTTAACCCATCTCCCACAACCTGCATGTTTTTACTACTTTATTACCACTTTCTTATTAATTGTCTCATGGAAGTCAGTGTTGATGGGTATCATCTTGCACAGCAAAATAAAATTAGATGACAAAAACATGTGAAATACCTTAATATATGGTCATGATGACATCACACCATGACCATATATAGGCACATCATGGCTATATATGGGCATGACATCCCACCATGACCATATATAGGTACATCATGACTATATATGGGCATGATGACATCACACCATGACCATATATAGGTACATCACGACTATATATGGGCATGATGACATCACACCATGATCATATATAGGCACATCATGACTATATATGGGCATACAACAGTTTTTTTGTCAGAGAAAATTGATAGTGTTGACAGTGCTTTAAGAAAGCTCATTTAAACGGATCTCCTGGAAGTGACTTCTCCCAAATTGGGGCCCCTGGCTTTCCCCTCAAATAAAAAAACTATTGATATACCTGGTAATGAAACCAGCTCATCTTCACTTAATTCAGAGTCGCTGTAATCTTGGTAACGCGCTCTCTTTTTCGTCTTGGTACGTGAGCTCCTCCTCGTTGGCATTTGCCTTAGTCGTCTTGATGACCGCCGTCCAATGCCACTGTAAACACTCTCATCACTGTCGTACGGTAAATCGTCTTTTTCCGAACTGGATTGCTCACTGATGATAAAAAAAAAAAGAGTTTGCTTTTTCATTATTAAAATAATAGAAATTATAAAAGTAATATTGATAATGATTATTATTAAAAATAATAATAAAATAATAAAAATATTATAGTAATACTATGATATTACTATAATATTATGATAATGTTATGATATTTAGTTATGAATTTCCAATGCTTTGGTGAGTATTCCTAGTTTTTTTTCTTGCAGATTATCTGTAGCCCTACTCCCTGGGGAGTATTCCTAGGCCCACTTCCTGGGAGTATTTCCAGCCCAATGTAAATTTTATGAAGTTCATGTTTTTGTTATATGGAGGCTTGTAATCTCAAAACCAGCATCAGTGACCATAAATGAAAACTGACCTTTAAATATATTCATATTCTCCACATTATAAGCCTTAAATTTATGGGTCATTTACTGGAATTGACTTACTATTGCTAAAATTTATGAGTAAAAGTATTACAGCTCTTCTCTGTACTAAAGTATACAACACTGCCACAATCTTACACTAATTACTCAGTTTAACAATTAGCGACAGTACGCTGGTTTTGAAACGGCAACGGCAAGCCTCATGTTCTAAAAATTACATGCTGTGATCTAACTAAAAATTTATATAAATGAACATAAGATATGTTTTAAAATGAATATACCTTTCACTTAATTTGAAGTCTTCGCTTCCATCACTCGCTTCACTGCTCTCAGCATCCAAATCCATCAGCTTTCTCTTTTTCTTCTGTACACGTTCATAATTCCTTCTCTCTTCATCATCTTCATCTTCTCTTGGACCCTTCCCACCGTAATCCCCTCCTTCTCGATTTGCTCTTTCTATTGTCTCAATGTCTTTCCCTCTACTGAATCCATAGTTTTTGTGATATTCTTCCAGGGCTAAATGAAAACAACAAAAACATTCATCATTTCAAAAAAATAACTCAATGTCTTGTTGCTGATCTGAATTTTAACTTGTGTGTGAAGTTACTTGTCAATTTGGATTTTATTGTTTAACTTCTATTGCGATGCAATGTAATTTACTTTCAATAATGTGCTGTTTGAATTTTATCTTCCCTAAATTTTAGATCCTCATAATTTTAACTTTTTCTTTTATACTGTAAATTATTACCTTTGTCGTGCTCCTCAACTTCATCTCGTATAGCAGAGTTGATGGTATTATCAAACTCATCAAACCTGTAGTTGATTTGTTTACGATTTCTCCGCGATCGCCGTTCGATCACCTCATACTCTTCTTCGAAATCCTCAACATAGTCTTTGTACTGTCTTTTCTTTTTCTTACGCTTTGGTTTCTCAATAAGTAACGTCTCCTTTTGTGGAAAATTTATAATTTTCCAAAGGAAATAAGAGAACATTAAGGGACCATACAAAAGGTCATGTTAGCACTAAATTTTAAAAGTATATAAGGAATCATAATGTTCATTCTATTTCATTCATATATCATTCCCAAAAATTCACAGATTAACATCACTTTATATGATTATATATATTATATATTAATGCTTGCGGTACACCACACCCGTGGTGTACCACAAGCATTAATATACTTCGAACAATATTATACACATTTTTAATATACATATATTCTGATGGGACCAAAGGTGACACCGGGAAGGGGAGGGGGGAGGAGGAGGCCACGGGGGGAAATCCCCCTGTCGGGGCCTTCCCCCCTTATCCAGGCACCAGTCAGGGAGTAGGACCCTAAGGCTGGCAAATCCTGTTACCACCACTGGATGATACAAAAGACTTATAACCCAAGAAAACGATATATAATGTGAACTAATTAAGAATAATATCTGTAGAACACTACTCACAACTGGTAGGATATTAGCCTCACTGATGCCCACATAAGTTAAAAGATTTTTCCTGTAAAAATCAACCAAAAAACAATTTCTTAAATTATGCAGTGCTTATTAACCTCATTCGCTTCACACAATAAACAAAGTTGCTGTAAATCATCATGTATTTCATCAATGATAAAGCTCTACATAGTTATTATATTCAATCAAAATTTGCTCATGTTAGTTTGATTTTAAATTTATAATCTGTTTGTAATTATATTCACTACGGTGTTCTGTAATGTTTTTGAGCAACTGTGCCTCAAAAATTCACAATAGCTCATTTAAATCAAATCATTATTAAACTTTTTACTACAAAAATCTTGAAATTGATTACCAGCTAATTTGAGGGTCTATGCGAAAGAATATACATACTATAGTGTTTAATGTCTTTATTAGTGAGCAAAATATTTTATCATCCTAATTTTCAATTGAAAGTTAAGAATTTACACTACTTAACAAACTAAGCAATTCAAAGATTGAATTATATATCTTTTTAAATTTATGTTTTTAACAAAACATACTTGCGTCTCTTTCTAGCTTTTTGTTTGATCTCTTGATCCAGTGCTTCAAGAGTTTTTTCCAACTGCGAAATAAGTTTTACCTGTGAAAAAGGAAACAACAAATATTGTTAACATTAATACAGAATAATAAAATAATAATAATAACAATGAAAAACAATACATGTGAAAAAGGAAGTAATAACAATAAAAGCATTAATATAAAATAATTACAAGTAATAATAAAAAAAGTAAGAAGGAATAATAATATATAAATATTAATTTCGTTACATATTAAGTAATAATTAATATTTATTATTCAATTTGTAGTAACCTTAAGTAACTTACATGTTCACAGCTGGGACAGAACCAATCACCATCAGGGATGATCATTAGCGGTGGACGTAGGCATGCAGTATGGTAGCCAGCATCACAGCTATCACACAAAAGAATCTGCCAAGAAAAATAAACAATAAGAATCATCATTGGAGGTGGACATAGGCATGCAGTATGGTAGCCAGTATCATAGCTGCCATGAATGTAGCTTCATAGAATTGTATGGTAATCTATATAAGCTTACATAACAGCTGCAGTCACACAAGTGGCATTCATCTATTCATCCCTTCAATCCATCCATACAAATGAACTAATTAATTCCTTTATTTACTTAATCAATCAATCAATCAATCATACTGTACATTTATACATCTATTGACCATCCACCTATAAACATAGAAATTACATGTATTTGCTCTGTTTTTCTTGAAATTAAAAAAATATTGAACATGATCTTGAACACGTCACTACTGTACTACTAAAGACGGGCATTCACTGCATTTTATGACCATCGCACGATGCAACGGAGCGTATGCTGCAGCGTGTAAAGTGTTGGACTTCTGATCGTGAGATTGGGAGTTTGAGACCGACGCTCATCGCATTGCTTGTGTCCTTGGGCAAGACACTTTACATGCGCATCTCTCTTCACCCAGGAGTATAAATTGGGGGGTGGGGGTCATGCTGTCAACCTGCTCATCAGTGATCCTGCTACGACTGTTCCAGTCAATTAATAACAATTATAAGTCAATTGTGACGTCATCACTGTAACTCGCAATGTTATTTGCCTATCCCCCAGTGTCCAATAATTTTTTATTATTGGATGCTCAGCTTGATTTTTTAAGGTTCGTGTGCAAAAAAAATTCTCATTTTTTTCGTCACTACCGCGAATACATCGCGCACCGTGACAAAAATTGAATTGTAATTGAAAATTGCTTTCGTAAAACAAGCTTAATTAGAACCCGAAGAAAGTTACTTCAAATTCAATATTAAGTATGAACAATTAAGGAATTCATTGAATCAATGGACCCTCCTAAGCACAACCAAGTGAACGTTTAATAGAAATATTTTAGACCTATTTTCAAGACTCAATCGGGCCTCCTCCTTCTATTACTGGGCATAGGCCGTAGCCTAGCCATGGCCTAGATATGAAATCATCGCACGATTTTACCTGTCTGCATGCACCAAACAAAAAGGACTTCAGTCACTGTATTCCCTCTCGAATGCTGAAATGTTTATTTCTTTGACGAAAGTCTATCAATATAGCATTACAAACAAGTTCTTTAACACAATAGTTAGGCCTATTCATAGTATCCGTACTGTACTGCTGATGTTAGATGAGTTAAACGCGTACTGCAGGAGCAAAAATCAGCATACGCACAGCTAAATGTAAATACGCACACGTATACTGATCATATCACTATAGCAACCGATAGCTGCTACAACAAGTTGGTTATAAAAAACCAAAATTAAAAGATGGTGATTGACTTATAAAGCAATTAGTAGAGCATGCATCGTACACTAAACGGAAAATTATTATACTTAGGTTAGATTTAATGCATTCAAAAATTTCCTTCGGGCCTTGCAGGAACTCAGGAAATTTTTTCAAGCATTAAATCTAATCTTCGTACAATAATTTTCCTATAGTGTACTATGCGGAGCTCTACTAATTGCTTACTAGAATTGACAAGAATCGAGTATACGCGATTATTTGCTAAAGGAAGCTATATCAAAAAAGAAACTGTGTAGATTCTGTGATTCATATGAACGAACGAACGATGCAACGCTGTCTGCTGATTGTCAGTGGCAGTCTGAACTTCTGTAGTGCACGCGTTGTCACGTTACGTTCTTTATAGAATTGCCGCGTCGGCTAACAACCGCCGGGCACAGTGAGTGCTCAGCTTAACACTAACTATGAAGATGATGAGTACATAGCGTAGCTTTCATGGAGCCATGCAGGCTAATCGACATTTTGATGTACTAACCCATTCTGGATGGTTGTACTGATGACATTTGCCACAAGGACTATCATGCTCCTCCTGCGGTTCCTCGTCCTCCTCCTCAGGTTGTTTTTCCTTTTCCTCCTCCTCCTCTTTCATTTCCTCTAGTTTCTCAGCTGCTTTCCGTGAGGATCTTCTCTTAGGTGTGTAGCGGATTGGAACTCTTCTTTTCTTCTTCTTTTTAGGTTTCTTGCTCACCACCTTGGCATTTGTATCTGGAAGGTTATCAAGATTTTGTAATGTTTGAACATAAAAAAAGAAAAAAATTTGTATCACATATTAAATTTGCAGTCGATTTTCTCTACAGCATTTGTTGTATATAAAGTATAGGACTATACTTTCCTCTGTTGATAGTAAGCATCACGATGAAAAACAATTCTAGTCAGTTTAACAAATTATTACATTAGTATTATTACATTTGTTACAATAATAAATTGATTTTTATACATACAATACTTTATTCCATACAGCAACTATTCCAAATCTATCACACAGTGGTGACAAGGGTGGGTTGCAGACATTTTAAGGGTGACAGGATGATAACATTTTGTAAACTCCAAATAATAAGAATGGATTTTAAGGATGTGCGAAGGGAGTTAATAAAGGTGGGTGGAAGGCGATGACTGGGAGGAAAACCTCAAGGCTGAGTGACTCTGTCCCACCATACAGTAACTTCATCCTTGCTTGAAGAAGGTTATATAAAAATTGAAAACATAAAAATGCAGATGATAAAATTAGTAACAAACCTTTTTCAGCACCGCTCATCTCTTCCTCTTCTTCATTTAATTCTTCATCCTCTTTAGTTTTTGGAACTTCTGTTGACTCTTCATCCATTTGAGTTGTTTCCTTTGTTTCAACTTTATTGTCTTTTTCCTCAATTGAATCGGATTTTTCATTTTTGACTGATTCCTTTGATGTCATAACTATCACTGATGCTCTGGCCATTGTTTTTTCATCCTTACAGTTTTCAGATTCATTCTTTTCTTTACTTTTATCTTCACTTTCTCTTTCTGCAACATTTTCAGCTGCCACTTTTTTTCCCTCTGAAATATTTTCTTTCTGTACTATAACTTCTGCTTCAATTTTCCCCCCTGTAGTATCTTTTCCTACGTCTTTAGTTTCTGTCGTTTGTTCACTTATCTCTGCACTCTTATTTTCATTTACTTTCATTTTCTCTTCTTTTCCATTATGTTCAATGTCCTGTTTCTCTGTGTCTTTTTCTTCCTTCACTTTCGTGCTTTCTGTAGCATCTTCGATTCTTTCATCCTTTTCTTTTCCAATTTTCATTTCAACTTTTTTTTCAATGCCTTTTCCTTCTATTTCTGCATCCCCAACGTCCATCTTTACATCTTCTGTTTCATCAGATTTTTTTTCCGAACCGTTTTCAGCTTTATCATCGCTACTTGTTGATTCCCCGTCTTCTACAATGTCCGAACTTTTAAGTTCATGTATTATTCCAGCAAGTTGGTTTCTATCACTAAAACGAAATTTATGATAAAAGTTAATAAAAACATAGCCCAACATCATTTCACATTAGTGGGTTTCATTTCAGCCGTCCAATAGAAAAGATTGGGGAATTCATATATTAGTTCATACCTATCATACATAAAATTGAAATTTTTTAAATAAAATATAGAGCATGAATGGAATTAGCTGATGGTCGTCGGCTGACACGGCTCTATAGGGAAAGCTACATCATGATTATTTTATCCTTCCACCATTGTTTTTTTCTAATGACTTTAGAGTACATGCATATTCCCAAAGATACAAAGTACAAAACACTGTATTACAAAAAGATATAAAATATCAACAATCGTATATTACACATACTGTACAATTCATATTTTCATATTTAAATTTTGAAGTTAAGCACTTAGCCAACAAAGCACAGCACTAACATAAGGATACTTGTCAATTGACTGATCATCAATCAATCGATCAACAATCAATAAATCATGATTATCAATATATAAAATACAGAAATCATAGACACTAACTATGAAATAAGTTGCCAAGATGAACTGTCATCATCATCTTGTTCTTCTCTGTACAAACGAATGTTGGCATCCTGGTCCTGCAAAGAATCATTGATAAACATGACAGAAATATTATTAAATTGACTTTTAGTAACTGTGGGTTTATGCATGTAAATGTTTCACTTTTTAAGCTAGACTCCGGAGGGGAAAAAACTATTTTTTTAAAAGAAAAAAAAAAGGTGTTTGACAAAAAGCTCGGGAACAGTAAATGAGATACAGATTTTTGAATATTTAAAAACTCAGGAAAAAGGGACATAAGTGCTTTTTTCCACCTCCCCCTCCACCCAGTTTTTTAAACATTACAAAATCTGCATCTCATTAACCATTTCCAAAGGATTCTGTCAAACACTTTTTGTATCCTAGAAATATCAGTTGTACAACATACTGTATCAACAATTTTTTTCCTCCAGAGATTCACTTTTATAAAAAAATTTTACATATATTTAAAAAATGAATAAAACTTTGATGAAAGGATAACAAAAATATAAAAATATAATTATATAGTTTGTATTATATGATTTAATGTATAACAAAAATGACGGGTGTTTCAAACCATCCTACCTTTTGATACCAATAAACGAGTCCAGTTTTGTCACGTCCAATTGGTTGGAGGCGCATCTTGTCAGGACTCTCTTCATTCACAACTTCACGTACCTTAGCATTAGTATCAAACTGCGATTCACACAAAAACTACAAATTGAAAAAAAATGTGCAAAGTTAAAATACTGTACCCTTATAAATATTCATTTAATTTGCTAGAAGCAAAAATTTTAATCTTACAATCTTCAAGTAATTTTGTATCGGATAATTAAGAAGACACTTGGAGCCATTCATATTTTTTCCATTGGTGTCTATTAATTTACACATATTTTTACAGAAGTTTAACATATACAGGGTTCTCACCAGCATGTAATGAGCGCCAGTTGGCAAGCGGGGTGGGGGGTGGTGCATGCAACACCACTGGGGTCGCACAACTGGATATTTCATATATTCAGTTTCAAGTACTGTAATATGATGGGACCATAAGGGAAGTTGAGATAGAATGAGCTAAACCTGGGTAGAGCTACTCATAGAGAGAGGCCTTATGCACAGCTAAAGAAAGAAGCATTCAACCTGACAATTGGCAAACTAGATCTTACTAGCGATCTGCCAGATTGTATACCAAAGTGGGATTTGGCAAATTATGAGGATTCTCTGGGCCACTTAACGACAAGCAAAAGATAGGCAAAGGATTAAATAATAATTGTATGTTTGTATCTTCTACATTACTATAATATCAAAGCCATGTTACCTTAAGCAGATTGATCTTGGAGTCCAGTTTGATTTCCGTATAGCCGAACTCCTCAATTTCCCACGCATACACTGGATTACACCAATGCCGTAGCATCTGCATTAGCAAATACAAATTAACTCATTTTTACAGCAGTTATGACACTACCATTATTGTAGTCAAATATTTTTAAATGCTTTCATTTTGGTAGTCCTATACATGTTTCATAATAGCACTTATTACAGTACTGTACACTAAATTAATGTAAGTAATTGTGTATAACTTGTTATGTTATTTATAAACTACTCATTAAATATTATATGTGCAGAGTTAATAGTATTTAATACAGTACTTTTTTTATATTGGTTAGTTCATATTAAGTCATTGGATCTCAACTAAAAATTATTGGAAAATATTTTACTGAAAAATTAACAGATAATTAGAAAAAATAGAATGCTTATTACTTGCATAGACTCTAATTTGGCTCATAATTTTTGTAGTAAAAGTGTGTAAACTAGTAATATATTAATGGTTGTCTTGTTTTGATTAAATCTGTGAGGATTTTCAATAGTTTCCTAAATATACACTAGATACAAAGTATACTTTAAACTATATAAATAACATTGCAAATCTCATTATTATTATTACATAATTAATTGCAGAAATATTTATTTTTATCATTAGTATATACTGAATGTTTTTGCAGATTGTATGTGGATACAAACCTTTGCCAGCTGTTTCTGCCAGCGGTCAACCGACACATTTTTGATGATTCTTCTCATTAACTTGATGTGCATAAACAGCAGTTCTTGGCTCACTAACAATAGACAAAATTACATTAAAATAGACAAAATATTGCAATCACTTCTTGGGTTGTTCCCTGAGGTTAAAATGACTAGGCCTAGGCTCTCTGTCATTTTCTAGATTTTTTTTTTTTTTTCATTTTTAATGATGCTTTTCCAACATCCCTGGCATTAAATACAGGGAATAAATGATTAAAATTAGGTTGAGCCTTGACCTCCTAGCCTATAACTAGGTCGAGGTCTGGACCTAGCACAGCCTAGCAGAGGCCAAGCTCTAGCCTATCGATGGATTTGGACAATAAATGGAGCTCTTCTTCATTCAAACTATTATCATGCAATCTTTATATTATCATAATTTATCCTTATATGGAGTTATTTTGTTATCCAATATATGGATACAATGTTACGTTCCACCAGTGTAAATAACGCAATATATTTTTTTTTTGTGGATGTCCAGGCATAGGTTATCGATACCAGACATCAGAATGACACATCAAAGCGGCTAGCCAAGCCAAGAAGATCATTACAACAGCTACCAATCTGGGGCTAGCCTGGCAAGACGCTTGTCTTGGTGAAATTAAAAACCATGTGAAATCAAAACGTATATTCAGGTTAAAAAAGTAAAACCATCCACAAACCTTGCTCCACATTTTCCAGGGATTCTTGCAATTCTGGAATAGTAAGATCTGGAAGTTGCAAATGCTCGCCATAACGCTGTAAAAACGAGCAAATTACAGCAAAATTTGGGTTTTTGTACACAGTTGCAGACGCCATGGCTTAGCACTCATTTTATTGTAAACAATGAATTATAGAGGGCGCTCGATGGCTTGCTCAATTAGTAGCACACAAAAGAACAATTTCCTCAGCACTCTCCATTCAACTACTCACATTTTAAAATTTCTAACATCTCGAATGTCCTGTAAGGGGAGGGAGAGGGGATATTAAACCAAAGATTTTCATTAGGATGCACTCAAAACTTGCTTGACGTCCTCACTCGAGTACACTTTTAGTAGTTGAAGAACAAATGTAGCAGTATTATGCATAGGCCTATGAGATTTAATTTTGGGCATTCCCTCCTACAAGCACTTACTCCTGTATTAGACATATTATATAAAAAAAGAAAAAAAAAAGAAGGGGGGGGGGGTTCATTAATGTCAGTTATCAGAAGAAGAAAGAAGAATTGTACTGGTCATGTTCTAAGGGGAGAGAGTTTGTTGAAAGAAGTCATAGAGGGGGACGAATGGAAGGGAAAAGACCAAGAGGAAGAAAGAGGATGGGGATGATAGACGATTTAAACTGAGGATAAAAGGCCTTATTAAGGAAGAGAAGATCGGAGGACAGATGCCAGTGGAGGAGTTGGCAGACAGGGACCTGACGGCAGAACACTAAAGGACAAGTAAGCATACAATATAAATAAACTTAAAATAAAGGATATATAGCTACAATGAGTAAATTTTAAAATGATAATGATACACCCTCCCCCTCTCCTCCAGTGATGTAATGCGTCATTTATTAAAATTGATTATCGATCTTTATTGCTTTAATATCTAGGCCTGTATATATATTAATGTTTATATAGGATATTATTGCTTTAATATCTAAAAATAATGTGTTATCAAAAGCATTACAAGCGCATACAAATGAAAGTTAACATTCAAAGATTATCAAAATGCGTAATTCTACATGCCAGTTTTAGTCTTATATATTTTAATATACATTCTGCCTAATTAAACTACTTTTTTGCCGAATTTACGTTTTAAAATGCGATTTCCGTAATATCGAGATCAATTTCATTCGAATTTTGCAGATCCAATGATGTAATGCGTCATTTTGAAATCGATTATCGATTTTATTTATTTAACGCATGTCCCCGAATGCGCATTTTGCCGAATTTTGCCGTGTTTGTCCGTTTCCAATATTGTCGCTAATCGATCATCGATTTCGTCGCACAACCCTCTATACTAACGGCCTCTAAGGTTGATTCCTCGAAATCCACCTTGGAGAGGCCCCATTGGTCTACTGTCCAATTTTGCTAATTACCGTACCTAATGTTCTGTTTCAGTTATAATGACCCCCTGCGAAGTGTTCCAATTTTTTTCGCTTTTTATTTTTTTTTCCATTGAGAACAATGGCTCGTTGTCTATTACGCAGAAACATGCTCATAAGTCTCTCATTGGGTCAAGAATGTTTTCACTTCATGTGATGGTCAGTAGGTTTATTAGTATTGATTTGATTTGTATATTTAAGTAAAGTACTTTTTATTGAAATTGTTTCGATCTATTTCATTAGTTTAGGCCTATAACTTATTTGATCTTTTTTTCAAAGAATTCAATTCCAATTCAGATTCATTATAGGCAGTATAAATACTTTTTTAAATCGTTTTAGCTTTCAATTGATAGATTGGTGAATGAGAAAACATTACTGTGTTTACCAATTAACAGACGCAAAATCGGATTCGTTATGAATACCTTTAAGTACGATATACTTTAACTTTATATAATTTAAGTATACTCCACGCAGGATGATGTTTGTTCATACACTTATTTAAAATGAAAACACGCCAGCTTTTACTGGTTCAAACTTCAAAATCTTATACTGGAAGATCAAAAAGTAATTTGTTAAGATTGCAGATTGATTTAATAACAGACATAAAAAAAAAAAAAAAAAAAAAAAAAAAAAAAAAAAAAACCAAACAAAAAAACGATCGAATTAAGCTTAAAGTATTAAATTGCAAAAGGGAAAATCGTTGGTTAAATTTATTTTAATTACATATTTTTGTTAATTACAACATACGCCAATAACCAAGACATCAACATAAATTACTAGTTTTTATATATGCAATATTTGAAATAAAGTTTGAATATAATAATATTTTAGAAACTTTTTAATGAGCAAAATCTTTTACTTAAATAAGAATTTCTTCGATTTTAACGATGACTGCCGTGTATTTCTATTATAGCTTAATGTTAAACTTGCATGTTAAGAGCTTCAATTAAAATTAAAACGAGGAAAAATTGTCCAGACCAATTAACGTAGTAATGAGCTAGGCTACAGTTTTTGCATATTAAAGATATCTTTTTCTGGTGTGGATCCAGCCAGGTAAGAAAGTGGGGGCGTGAATGTGCGAACTGAGGGAGAGTCTCAGCATAAAGCCGTAGGAAGCGCAACGGGTAAATCTCACTTATTGCCTCTGGATTGATGTTTACTATTTTTTGCAAGGTAATTTTCTGATAGGCCTAAGCACAAGAAATAGAGAGGACGTACGCCCCTCCTAATCCGCCACTGCCTTCTCTCTTATTCTTTTGCCAAACATAGGCCTACACGTAACAGAAAATTAAATACGATTTGAACCGATTCTTAAATGTCCTGAATTTAAGGTTTTTCGTAGTAAAACAATGGGGTTTTTTGAATAAATTAAGTTATTTTTAATTCCAATTAATGACTTTATTAAAACGTCTTAAAACTTGTGTACCGGTATTTCCAATTAACATTTATTAAATTATGTATTCTTTTAGATTGAAAATTGAAAATTTATTAAGTTTTTCTATTGTATATGCGGCATATGATGATGTTCACTTGAAGAATAATGACTGAATTAAAGAAAAAACCATCAGTTTGGTCTGTAAGCCGACTTGATAAAAATGTTAATTATGCAAATAATAAAGATAACAATGTTCTTCAACAGTACAAATTTCGATATTTTATAGCTGTTGTTAAACTTCCCACTACAGTATTTTTATTGAAGAACTATACGAGGTAGGCAATTAAAATAGATTCTAGGGTTCATATTTTCTATATTATTGCAAACAAAACTTTGACAGGGTCTAGTAATAGTGCCTTCGTAGGGTGCATTGGATTAGAACAAGGTAATTCAACAAAAGGACGCACATCTCCGCTCTCGAACATAGCGCGTGCGTAGTCCTTTGATCTTTACTGTGGCATCGACAATCCGATACTAGTTGCGAGTACAGCCGTCAATTATTAGTCTATGCGTGCCATTCGTTTTACGGTGTTAGTTTTTATTTTATTAATTTTGGGTACTTCGCAATGTCTGTTACATTTGATTTTTTTTTTACCGCGAGCTTGTTAAATGCTTCTATAAACTGCAATTTGATTTGTGAAAATTGACCAAGAAAATGAAAAGTTATAGCAATTCAAAATTTACGAATTTTATAAAATTTCATGTTCTAATGTAACATTTATCTGTCATTTTGACAATGTTGGCATAAATAAGGTGCCGAGGACGAACATTTGAGTATATACGGAACATTTATTAATTTTTTCTGCGAAGTGAGTCTCATGAACGACAATTCACCACAATTTTGGTAAAATTAATGTTGAAATGAAGAATATATTTCAGTCTAATGTTAGTGCAAAATATCATTAGGCATTTGTAATCACCGCACGACGTGCGACTAACATGGCAACTAACACGCGCGTGGGTAAATCGTCACGTACGTACGCTGACGGTTTATGGTCTGGTTGCTATGGTTTTTGTGACGTTCAGCGTGTAGGGACGCGCGTGCGCCTAGAATGTCGATGCCAGAGTTATAACCTTTGATGTACCGAGATGTGCGTCCTTTTGTTGAATTACCTTGATTAGAAACGTTGT